AAAAAGGAGATGCCTAGTGAATTTTATGTTCTTCCATTCCAGGATAAGATAGCCACTGAACAGGGCATTGGGGCTAGTAGATTCCTGAAGTCCATCCAAGTCCTGCTCTTCGGCACTTATGGTCTTTTCTGAATCTAGCCCTTTGTGCTAGAATCATCTTATGACCACAGACCCAATCCTACAAAGTGCTCTGAGTAGAGAAGCCTCAGTGAAGTCAATGGGTCTGCGTGGCACAGAGATCCAATGTGCATGGTGCTGTTTCAGGTCTACAGTTGAATTGCATTTAGCACCAGGAGTACTGATTCTGAATGGGGCCTCTGCACACAGCTGTAATCTAGCTATTAAATAATAACAGTAATGATACTTGTCTAACGTGTGTGCATATTTCATGCAAGCTAACAGAGGTGGCAACATAAGCAAAGCAGCTCTTCCACCTTGTGGTTAAACAGAATATTACTCCCAGCATTTTGCATTAAGTATCAGAGTCAGAGATCACTTATGGACAGTTGCATTAAACAGACAAATCACACAAACCCCCAGTGCAACAGCAAATCCTCACCTGTCAACGAATACTAAATATATTAATGTCAGCCATATGAACATATAGATGGTAAGGGTAATGTGTATGTATGCATGTAAATAAGTCAATGCAGTTATGTTGCCCTCTAGTGACTGCTGCCCTCAGATGATCTAAGACCTGGTAGCACAACAGCTGACACAAATCTCCTTTAGCCCACCTGGTAAAGGACTATGTTTATTGCAAATTTAAAATTTTATCATGCTGATAGTGAAATAGTAATTGAAGGGGAGAATGCTATGGAGATTAAGAAAGTGGACTTTTTAAATGGAGACTATTAACCCACTGCACTCAGCCAATATAAATGGAGCTGGGAAGTATACCAATTCACGCATAGAGACATTGAGTAACTCCCCTTCTTCCCACTCTACAACCCTTCCACCCTCAACTATTTGCCTATTTCCACCTGGCTATTTAAGCAATCATGCTATTCTCTGCAGGTTCCATTAGGGGACAATTAACTGCAATATGGGTCCAGCATCCCAAGTTAATCACCCCAGAATGAAGCCCAAATTTTAAAGCTGTAATTAAATGTCAATTCTGCACTAATGTTATCAATGTATAATCAGATATATAATTTTGCAGCAAATGCTCAAGATTTTCACTGTGTGAAACAGTGGAATGCACTGGCTAACAGACTTTGGAGCCAGTAAGTGAATATTAATGTTTTTAATGGTCCTAAATTGCACTTCATTTCTGAGGCAGGATTAGCTTGGTTATGTAAGAGAGACTGATTTGGTTCAAGAAAGAATAGCAAGGCATGAAAAGAATAAGCTGTTTAAAATCTATGTCTGCTTCTTTTCAGCTGTTGCTTGCCTTTGAAGAGTGGCTTATTAATTATTGTTATAATCCTAAGCATCATTATTATTATCCCAATAGCACCAAATGTCACCAATCAGGATTGGTGTCTTATTGTACTAGGTGTGCTCTACAAGCACAGAGGAAAAAACAGTCCTCACATGTGACATTCCTTTTTCATCACTCAATTTACAACAGTCCACATGTCAGATTTGTTACCAATATAAAATTACCAAAGTTGCTGGGAGTCGCTGCAGGTAGGAATTTGACCTATTGGCCCATTCAGAGGTGTAACTACCAATTTTGGCCCACTGATACTGTTGAGTGCTAGGGTGGAGGTATAGAGAGCTGCAGGATGTTGCTGGTACTCTGCTTGCCCCGCCCCAATAATGCTACTGTAATTATGTTTTCAATTTCTTTTGCTCTTCAGTGGTTTGACAGAATTATGCCTATTTATGGAAGAGAAATAATGTGGTTTGTACTGTAGTGTGCTTTGCCTTGCTTTTGGTTGGCAGAGGAAAGACTGTTCACTCTGGGACCCTAAAAGATTAGATTATTGGAATCTTATTTATAATTAGGGCTGTATCTGGCACATTTCAGATCTGGGAACAAACTTTCCCCAAAAATGAGGCTGTTCAGTTATAGTGTTCCAGATGGGACTAATTACTGAGATAAACAAGAGCTGCTGAGTTTAGATCTGGATTTGAATCTAGTCTCCCACCAACTTGTGAAGGGAGTTAGAAATGATCCATCCCTATGATCCAGCTCAGGTCCATATCTGGTTATAAACATTTTTTTATTATTACAATGGCAAACACATCAAAGCTCTTCATTGTTTTAAATTAATTTTTCAAAACAATCAACAAACCAAGAAATCTGACAGCTAGCCAATGCCCAGAATAACACAATCTGTTTCTTCAGCTATTTTTATATCGCTGATAAAGGCTACTAGTATGAGCAATCTGTGGGACTGTCTACCTCCAAGAAGCGAATTTTTAAGAGTGAGATTAATTCTGGTGAAAGGAGTTGAATTGAGATCCCTAAAAGTTGAATTTTATATTTTTAACAGCCCAAGTGCAGGAGAGGAAACAGATTGGGAAGTTTCTTTTCTTTTTCCAGCCTCTACATGCACAAGTGCTCCAACCTGACCAAAAGGTAACACCTCCAGGAGAAGGTGGATTATAGTAGCCGCAGGATTTTTATTTGGCATAAGACCATTCTGTCACATCTGATGACATTCCAATTTATCTTGGCAAGGATCACAAGACTTTGTGATTCTATTACATATTTCAGCCAAGGATTACAAATGACTTTACAAAAATGGATGAGAAATCATTGCCCCCATTTTACAAACAGGGAAACCGAGGTGCGGAAATGGTATGTGAATCAACCAAATACACAGAGACAGCAGCTGAGTCTGGAAGACAACACTAATTCCAGCACTATGCTTAATATGCTACGCCATAGTTACCTCTAATTTTTAACATAAGGTCACCATGCTGTCTCTTGGTAGGCTGACATTGCAAAGAGGTGTGACACTTTTTTTGACATACTGTGTCACAGCATGATGGCATTCTGATGCCATGTCAATCTGCTGAACCAAACTGTCATCAATCTCTGTCTTCATTCAATGGTGTTTTGACATAACCAAATGACATTTGTATACACAATGCAGTCACACCATGTTGTAGGTGAGGATATCTTGATGTAACAAGATGTTTTCACATATTTCTCTGCCTCCGTGTTTTCATACTGGTATCCAATGGTACAATCAACCTAATTTCAGTGGCCATCTAATGTGTTAGTATTTGGCTGCTACGGGTGTAAGGAGCTATTACTGCAATCCTGTCGGGGATCCAAAGCTGTCCACATTTAAGTCTTCTGAAAGACCCAGTTCTACCTACTTACAATAAGTCTAGCTGACTTTTATTAAAACCCCTGTAGTCCCCCTTCCTTTAACCTCTGTCAATTTATGTGTCTGTCCTTATACATCAGACAAGGCAAGAATTTCTTAGGCCAGTATCTTTTACTGGGCCAGCTGCATAGTTGGGATAGAGTTAGACAAGCTATTGAATATAAGACGTTCTTCATCAGGTCTCAGATCAAAGCTTGACCTGATGAAGACTGTCTAGCATTTGAAAGCTCGTCTAACACTATCCTAACTGTGCAGTTGGTCCAATAAAATATATCACACTAATTGAGTCCTTGTCTCTTGTATGATTCCTGGACTACAGCAACATCACTCTTACTCTGCAATGATCTTCACTACAAAGATTGTCCCTTTACAGATGCCTCAAAAGTGCCTAGCTCCTCTTGGCACTACCATATACCAGCATGGCTGATGCTGCCATCATGTTTTGAATGAAGTCAACCCACTGTATGGGGAACATAACACAAATCTTTGGCTGTAGGGCTGATAAGTTCATGTTTTCCTGAAAGCCTCCAGCTCCTGGAGTCTTGTGATTTCAGAAGAGCCTTAGTTTTTGGTGGGTTATTTTTTTGGTGGTGGAAATGAAACAGTTTCTTTGCTGCAGATGGGGGCAGAGGGTGCGATAGCGTACTTGCACCCACTCTTGGATCCCTACTCCACCCAAAGTTTAAAACCAAGTGCACGGCAGTGGCAGCAGCATTTCCAATCAGGCAGTGCTGAAGGAGTCACTTGATTTCATGGCTCATTATAATCTACCAATTTCTTCTAAACTCTTCATTGCACAGGTCTTGACGGCCCCCTCTCCTTTTAAACTGTCTTGATGTTCCACCCATCAAGCTAGCCTTTCCTCTGCAGCGTTGCTGTCTGTTAGCTGCTCCTGGTAAGGACGCTCCTGTTTCGTAGCCCTGCTGGTTGTTTTTAGCTCATTCCAATTAAGCCATATAGGTTTTTGCTTCGATCTTAGACAGAAGGACGCAGCCCCCGAGCCTGGCGTTCATTTGGAACCAGAGAAAAATGTGTGTTGTTTTTATACGAGATGCCGCCCCTCACCATCTGCACGCCCTACATCCACTCATGGCTGCAGACAAAAAGGCTTGAGCCCTGCAGTGCTCAGGGCAAAGCCAGGCAAGCAAAGAGCAGCCCTACTGACTTGTGTGCGCCCGTATTTACACTTCTGGAGTCAAGGCCATGACAGGGGAGGGCCTAACTCATGAGCAGGGATCCTGGTTTTCTCTGATTAAAAAAAAATCCCCAATTTTCGGTTAAAAAAAAAGTAACCCAGCCCCCCTATATGTATATCTATAGCTATATCTGTCTCTATATATAAATATATAGTGATGTTTCATTTTGATTACAGAAAAACGTGGATTTTGGGTTACATTTTTTAACTGAAAAATTGGGGATTTTTTTTTTTTTTTTTATCAGAGAAAGCCAGGATCCCTGCTCATGAACTTTGAAATCTGCCCCTCCCTGCCTGCCCCCCAAGCCCAGAGGCGGTCTCTGCTGAACTGTGGCTAAACCCACAGTTCAGGCCCCCTCCCCCACATTATGGCGCTTGAGCAGGCGGGGACTACAACTCCCAACATGCCGCGCGGCCTTCGCGTGCCCCCCTCCCGAACTCTAGGATTAACAGACCCCTGAGCCAATCGAACGTTAGCACAGCCGGCGGGGGCGGGGCTGCAGCGCGCGTCTTACCTTGGCGCAGTGCATGCCGGGAATAGTAGTGCCTCACGGGGCCGCCCCAGAGCGAGGATTATAGTTCCGGCCGCACTAATATGGCCGCCGCGCGTGCGTAGAGGTTCCCGGCGACCCCCGTGCGTGGCAGGAAGCGGAAGGAGGCCCGGCGGCTCGAGCACTGACGTGTCTCTCGCAGTCGCCGCTTGCTGTTCGCCTGTTCTTTGCCCGGCGCCGGCGGCCGCCATGGGGAGTAAGTACCGGCGCGGCCTCTCCCCGGGGTCCTGGCAGCAGCGGCGGCGGGGAGGGGGGAGCCGGAGCCAGAGCCTCCCCTCGGGGTCCCGGTCTGACGGGCCCGGGCCCCGGAGCTTTTAACGCGCGTGGGGACGGTGTCCCGGAGGGAACCCCCTTCCTTCAGCCGCGTTCTGAGGTCGCTTCTGCCCGCCGTCACCCGAGGCTGCGTCGGGGCCAATCAGCGCGTTCCCCGGGCCCTTCGGGCCGGCAGGGCCCCCCTCCCCCACCCGGGTCCCGGGCTCCGGAGCCTTTAACACGCGTGTGGGAAGCTGCCCTGCCGGGACTTGGGCTCTTGTGACGGTGTCTTCTCCTGCATCTCTGCAGGAGGGTTGCCATCCCCGCACAAGCTCCAGGAAAGCGAAGGGCGCTTATAAGGCACTGAGCTCCATCAGACATGACACTTCCCCTAGTGCGAGGTGTGAGCGTCGTCGGGTTTGGGTCTTTTTTGAACCTTGAAAGCCTATCTGGGAGGGGGGGAAATGCTTCCCTCGTGTCCCTTCCACCTTGGAGGGGTTCAAGGCTTTCTAACAGGTTCCTTTTTTCATGAGCTGAGGGGAGTGCTGAGATTTGCCTTCCTCTCAGGGGAAATGTTTTGCTCTAGCGCAGCAGTTCCCAGTCTGTGGTACGGTACCCACAGTGGTACGCGTTAACAGATTTATTATAATTACTTTAAATGACCAAAATTTGCCGGTGGTACTTAAGGTTGAACTGAAAAGTTTGCTGGTGGTAGTTAAGGTCGTATCATTTTACATTTGTCGCGTCATTTTTGTCATAGCGTCATATCGTTTTACATCGTTTTCCCAAACTGCTGGAGTTTGGGAACTGCTGCCCTAGAGAGCAGTTTCGTGCATAAGTCCTTTGGGATGGAGTAACTTTGCCTGAATTCAGCTGTGGCGCCCAACTACACCTGTTTGACGCGCCAAGGCCGCGTCCAGACGAGCGTGGCTGTGCAGTGTCCATGGTGCCACTTACTGCACGTTCAGCTCTTCTCTGCACTGTAAGAACGGAAAAAGCCACACAAAATAAAAAGAGTGGCGCACGCTGGGGCAGCATTTGCCACTCAAAGCCAGTATTTGGCTGGCCAGAGCCATACTTTGGCTATCGGCCAGGCTCTGAGCATCAGGATTGCTGCTGCTGCAGCCCCGGCAGGCCCCCACGACCCCAGGTAAGGCGGCTGGGGCCAGCCCAGTGCTGGCTGCAGCCTCCTGTACCGCACCTGGAGTAACCTGCCTCGCGCCAGAGGACACATGGCACAGGGGTCCCCCAGGGACAGCTAGAGGCAGCAAAGAGTGTGCTGTGGCTAGTTGTTCCCAGGGAACCAAACATTCACGCCCGTGTGGACAGGGCCCAAGTGTCTGTTCTGCCCGTTATTCTTCCAACATCAGATTAAGGAAGCAGCCATCCTAAATACAAAGTCAGGAGCGTATTTGTGTCTCTTGGGGGGGGGGGGGGGGG